TTTTACTCTTGTTCTACAAAACACAAAGTCATGCTTCAAAAAGAGTTCAGTGAAAAAACACTGATGTTATGAAACAATTGTTTGTTTGTTTTTTTACCTCTTCTTTAAAATGTCGGTGTAGAATTCACCAGAGTTTAGGATGATTCAGACACAGTACGATGTATGATCCACCGCTCAGCCATAGGCAGGACTGAAGTCTGTAGATTAGGATTAGGATTAGACATATTGATGATGATTCAACTCAAACCTCCACTCTGGGCACCGTCGACCAAACGCTGGACCTTGTCTTTTGGAGTTGAGTCCTGACGTTCTGTTGGTGGTGTGGTGGCACCACGACTGTGGCCCTCAGGAGGACTTCTCTCAGCGATCATTCAGCTGAAACACTTTTTTTCTACAACAGCACCTTTTCCATCAAAGTTTTCTGCTCAGGAAGCCTTGAAGAATGTGCTTTGTTATTCACAGTGATCTTGATCACAGCAGCAGCAGCAGCAGCAGCAGCAGCAGCAGAGCAGCAGCAGCAGCAGCAGGAGGCGGCACGCCCCTTTTCAGTATATTCAATGGTCAGAGTTTCCACAGTATCAAACCACCAGAGTATATTCATCTGTGTACTACTGATACACACAGTACCACCAGAGTATATTCATCTGTGTACTATTGATACTCACAGTACCACCTCAGTATATTCATCTGTGTACTATTGATACTCACAGTACCACCTCAGTATATTCATCTGTGTACTATTGATACTCACAGTACCACCTCAGTATATTCATCTGTGTACTATTGATACTCACAGTACCACCTCAGTATATTCATCTGTGTACTATTGATACAGACCTCAGTATAAATCTGCAGTGAACTGGAAGACAGTGCTGTGTGAGACGGCACAGCTCTGTGGGTAACAGGGTCATGTACAACGTGTGTGTGTGTGTGTGTGTGTGTGTGTGTGTGTGTGGACACCAAGCAGGAAATGCTTACAGCCAGTTTTATTTTCTGTTAATTCACAGAAGGCTGTGACAGTCCAGGAGGAACCTGTAAAAGTTAGACACAACATCACAGCGGTGTCAGTGGTTCGATTCCTAACTTCAGTGAAGCAAGGAGAATAAAAATCATCTCTGGAAAGACACGTGTCACTCTCTGGATCTGTTGGTTCAACAATGATCAGTGTGTTTCTGACATCTTTGAAGATGTTTATCTTTGTTTCCGTCCATCAGTGTCCGTGGCTGTGGTCTCCGTCTCCGTCTCCGTCTCTGTCTCCGTCTCCGTCTCCACCGTACGGCTCCTAATGACTGATGATTTAAAGCAGAGGGGACTGTGGGAGGCTGGACGACTTCTCACAGCCAGGACGGTCCAGGAGATCTCACACTGGTAGAAAGGTTTCATGTGTGGCCTGGTCCACCGTGGGCTCCCTGTGTCTCATTATTATGTAGCCTGGAGCCTGGAGCTGGGCTGCTCCACCATTCTGCCAACTGGGCACTCTGCTGCTCTTGACAGCTGCTCCACATTTTAGTGATGAAAATGACCAAGAAAACAGTGGAGAACAGTGAAGACCCCTGTGAAGACCCCAGTGATGCTGCGCTGTAGAGGATTACTCCAAACACAAACACACTGACATAATCAACGTTTTAAACGTGTGCAGTTTACAAACACAGAGAGGTGGGAGTCCAACACCACTCTGGGGCTTCAGCATCATTTTCCTGCTATATTTTAATGACCCAAGAGAATTTTCTTAAAATCTGTGGTAGGTGTTGTTTCACAGCACAAATAAGTCATGACTCACGGCTGCTGCTGCTGCTGCTGCTGTTGTTGTCATCCCACATATGCACTGGAAAAAAAAGATAAGAACAAAAAAAGGCTCCAAATAAATCAATGCTTGAGGGTAAAAAAACCAAACATCTTTTTCCTAAATGTATTTTGTCCCCTGCATCTATGTTATATATGTGCACTTGGACTCTGGCAGCGCGGTACAGTGGGAGAAGCACAGCCCATTACTCTGTGCACACACAGGTGGCAGCTGCTGAACTCAACCATAATAGAATTTGTTATTTGAAGAATTCAGGCCAAAGGAGCCCATTTAGTTTCTCCATGTTTTGTATTTCCTCCTGACTGGGTCAGACTGAAGGCTAAAAGTCTGAAAGGAAGGCAGTTTTTAAAGTTGCAGCTTGACACCTGCAGTCATTCAACCTTTTCTTTCCATGATTTTCAAGGATTTCCAGGTCTAAAATCAGGATCTGGGAACACAGCGTCTTTTAGGAAGAGTTTTGATCTTGTTTTAAATCAAGTCCAAACAGAAGTAGTCTTCATAGAAGTAGTCTTCATAGATGTAGTCTTCATAGATGTAGTCTTCATAGATGTAGTCTTACTTTAATCACTAACAAAGTTCCGTGTTTTGGAATGTAAAGAAATGTAAACATCTGCCCTTCACACAGCAGTTAATAAACAGTCTCTCTGGTCCATAACGTCCCCCACAGACAGCAGAGCTGCTGCTGCTGCTGCTGCTGCTGTTGCTGGTTCTGCCTCTGCTGCTCTCGCCGGTTCTGCTGCCTTGTTGT